GGAGGAGGGAGGAAGTGGGGCGGGAGGTCAGGAAGGATGGGGCAGTTCTCACCGACCGCCTGGGGAGAGATGAGGTGGCAGAAGAGGGCACTGAACAGGATCAGGACGAGCGGGAAGGTGACCCAGACGAGGAACTGCAGAGGCAGGCTGGGCTGCACCTGGGAGTAGGTCCACTTGTAGGCTGCAGGGAAGGCCCGCGCTCAGCCCCGCGCCCACGGCGGTGCAGCCACCCCACCCGGTCCAGGCCCGCAGGGAGGAGCAGGGTCCCTGGGGCTGTCCCGCTGAATCTCGCGAGATGCTGCTATAAACCCGCGTGGCTGGAGAAGCCCTGTCCCGTTCCAGTTCCCAGCGCTCCTAGGAGCTGGGGTCTCTGCGCAAACCACACTGGAGCTGGGACTGCGGCCACCAAATGACAGGCCCCGGGGGTGACCGGCCACCCCGGTTTGCCCAGAACCGAGGTGCTCCTGGGTCTCAGGATGTTCGGTGCTCAAACGCAGGAAAGTCCTGGGAAAACTGGGGTGAGTATCAGAGGGGCACCCACAGCTGGGCTGGTGGCGGGTGGAAGGGGCAGGAGAGATGGGTCTGGGTCTGGTCTGGTCTGGTCTTGCCCTGGGCCTGATCTCCTCTGTGCAATGCCCCCTTCCACCACACACCCAGTTTATCCTAGGTAGAAACTAGGCACGGGGAGAGGCCGAGTGGCCAGGGCCAGGTGACACCTACCCTGGAGGGTTTTGGCGCTAACGTAATCCATGCACCAGCTAACCAGAGCCATCAGCAGTCCCAGGAGCACCAGGAAGATCCAGTCTTCCCCCAACTTCCTTCTCACCACGCGCCCCAGGCGGTACACACAGTCTAGGAAGAGAAAGGGTTAAGAAGGGTGGCGACTTGCCACTGCTCAGGCCCAGGACTGAGGCCCAGAGGGGAGGTCTTTTACGTCTTGTCTCAGTCACTGAGGGTCTGGTGTATGGGTCTCATTCACTGAGTCTCTCTTCACTCCTCTGCCAGCTGCTGCCCCGCCCCTGCCCCTTCCAGGCACTAACGTGGTTCCCTACTGGATCCTTGAATTCCCTTCTAAAACCCATTTCTTGGGGCTGAGCGGGAGAGAAAGTGGGGAAAAGGCAAGCGAGAAGGAAGCGGGGAGAGACGCCTCTCCTTAATGCTGGGAGGAGGGCTTTGGGGTGCACTCGGGGAGGCAGAGCAGGGATATACGCAATGGGACACCCAAGTTATTGTCCTAAGGCCTGTCGCTCCTCTGTTCCAGATTCCTTTCCTTCTCAGTCCCCATCACCTTGACATTTAGAATAGTGGTCCTCATCTGTGCTGTCCATGGTCGCCCTGGAGCCCATCTTCTTGAGCATCCCAGCGTCCTGCTCCTTCTCTGAGAATTGCTCTTTGCGGTGGCCATAAATCTGGACAGAGGAGAATGGGAAATGTCTGTCTTGCGGAAAAGTTAGCGGAATAGACAGAGGGAAGCACATAGGCCCGCAGGAGCAGACAAACAAACAGCCTTTAAAATCCTGGGTGTTGAGGTCCTCGCGTAGGGTCACTCCACCGGTGCTCCCTGCCCTCAGCTCCCCACTCCCACCCACATATTTCCTACTTGTCACCCTTGTCTGTCCCTCTCACCCTCTCTCCATCTGTGCTCATCTTGGTCCATAGCAGCCTTCATCGAGCAGGCCAGTTTCTACTCTGACGTAGAGCTAGGACTGTGCATCTCTGTCAGTTAGTAGTTTTCCGTGTCACTCTGCTTGCTGGATCTCAGCCTGTCCCTCTAATATCCCCAGACCCTCCCCCTACCCAACTTCCCTCCTAGGAATCCTGACGCGGATGGGTAAGGATAGGCCAGCAGGTGACTCTTGCTTGCACTGTGCCTTGGTGTGTCTGGCCTTACTGGAGGCCCCTCAGACGCTCAGCCAAGCTTAGAGAACACCCACCCCTCCCTCCCTGGGGTGCACAGTCCTGAGAAGGCAAGCCAATCCACTTCTTCCCAGAGCAGGGTAATTAGATGCTCCCCCAAATGTCTAGAGGGCAGAGGAACCCCTCAGGTCTGGTAGCCCTCGGCTCTCATCCCCAGGTAGCCTGCCCCACTCCCACCGCGCTAACTCCCTCCTCTGGGGCCAGGTCAGGCCGGGCCATGCTGCTGGTTCTGGGAGAGCCTGGGTGGAAGAGATCTGATTTCACAATATGAGCAGCGGAGTCGAAGCGGGAGTAGTGGGCAGGCACGCACGAATTGCCCTGCTCGTGGCTGTTCCATCTTCTGGAAGGAGGTTAGTGATCGAGGGAGGTAGTGTTTCTGTCCACGCCCCACGTGGGACACAGCGAGAAGACACTACCTACCAGTGGCGCTCAGTGCACACCCTTCCACAGACTGTCTCACTCCCTTGGGTCCCAGGTTGGTGGAGATGAAAAAGAGGGGTGCTCCATACCAAACCTGGGAACACTGAAGGAGCCAGATCTGTGGGGGCTGGTGCAGGGCTAAGCACCACAGCAGAGCAGCACTGGGGAGGGGGCTGCGGCTGGGCTTGGCTGAGGCGGCGGATGCCGCCTGGGGGGTGCTGCGTGTGGGTGAGGGTGTGAGGGAGCTCTCTCGTGCACAGACGTGGGCTCCTGGGCCAGTCTCTCGTGTGGCTTATGTAAGCAGGATCTCGTCATGCATATGTGGCTTTGCTGTCCCCATAGGGTTCCTGAGATCTGCTGGGAGAGGTTATATAAAAGGACTTGTGTCTACTGAGCTGGGCCCAGGCCTTTGCAGGATCGTCATATTTTGAACACATTGCCATGTAATTTTTAAGCTAAAAAAAATAACCCTGCTCCTTCGTTTCACCCAATTCCTAATTTCCCCCAATCTGTCTCACCACCGGCTCCTCCAACCCACCGCCCCTCCCCTTAGGACTTTACCTGTGTGGGGTGGGAGTTGGGCCGGGCCCCTGCATCCCTCCGGGGCCTGTGCTGGAGGCCCCCATTCTCCGAGGGCAGTCCGTAGCTGGTGCAGTGTTCGAAGGGCATGTACTGGTACTGGGGGGCACTACCCCACCAGGTTTTTTCCCCTCCACGCCGCTGGGACTCAGATGGCTTCATGCTCCCTCCCCTAGCCAGGCCTTGGCCTGCTTGCCCCAGTCCAACCCCCAGGACAGCTCCTTAAGCCTGTCCTCTTGTCTGTCCCCAAGGCGTCTGGGGCAGCATGCCCACCCCCAGCTATTTATAGCCATCTCTCCATCACATGACCCCCCCACTGCCACATCTGATCTGCTTGGGGTCGAAGCAGGTGTGAGAGCAGTGTGGGGGAGGGGTTGGGGTGAGAACCTGAGGGACAGCCCCACAGGGAATTCCCTCAGCTGGGCAGCAGCCCTGGCCCCCTCCTTAGTCACTAGGAGGCTTCCAGCCCCAAGCCACTGGTCCCTCTATAAATATTGCCCAGACCAGGACGGAATAGTGCTTAGCATGGTCTCAAACCTGTGTGCTCCCAGAGCATGTTCAACCTACACCATCCTAGTGTCTCATCTCTGTTCAGCACGGGGGAGGCGAGGCTGCGGTGCTGGACCGAGTGATTCCAAGGTCTGCAAACCCTGGGGAGTAACTCACCCGGGGGAGTAGGTGGTGCCTCTCTGCCATCTTTCCCTGCTGGGTTGTCCCCAGCTCCGTATCTTCCCAAGGTCTAGTCCTCACTGCCCGACCGCCTCTCCCAACCCATCCAGTCTTCAATTTGCTCCTGGAGCTCTGCCTTTTCTGTCTGCCAGGGGCTGCTAATAACGCTTCGGTGCCACCCCTTGACCCCACCTTATCTGTTACCCACTGGGCATGGGGCGCTGTGGGAAGCAGGGCGAGAGCCTTGGCTTCTGCCATGTCCCCCACTTCCCAGAAAGATGCGTGTCCGCCTCACCAGCGGCCTGGATTTATGGGGGGGGGACTGGGCTTCCGTGTGGACTGAGGAGCACCCGCCTGTCTATCCAGTGGGTTAGATAACAGGGGGGAAGGGAACTGGGCCAGGGGCAGAGGCGCAGAGGGGAGAAGGGAGTGAGTGTTCCCATGAGAGCCCACAGATATAAGCGACGGTGGGGAAGTATTCTGCCATCCTTCCCTTTTTCAGGTCAATAAATTACTTTCTGCCAGGGACAAACTCCTCTATCTGGCATCCTTTTATGTTCTTTTGCCAATTTTCCTAGGGCATTCTTTCTCCTGTGAACTCCTCACTGTAGAGGACAAGTGATAAACATGAGCCAATGTGTTGCTTAGGGTCCATCACCAAGTGAGGTGGGTCCCAGGACAGTCCAAGTTCAGGAACCAGGGGGAGGGACACAAAACATCTGGTCTACAAGTAAATTTGGATCTAGGCTAAATGGAAATGTCCAAAGCAGGTGGGACGGTGGACACCATCAAAAGCACCTTTTCTAACATAAGTCCTCCAAGCCCGAAGGCATATAATCCCCCCCACAAAGTAAACCTGTGCCCGTCTGAGGGACTGAAGGTTCTGCAACACCCACCATCTCCGTAGGCAGAAAATAAGGAAAGAGTTCCAAGGGGTTGGCGTGAGATGAAAGGAATACTGTCTTAAAGAAAATACAGTGTCTAAGTGAAAATATTTTGTGGGGAGGGCATTTCAGAAACGGGAGAGATTTTCAACTGCTTGTGGAAGACGGCTGTCCTGAAGGTAGCCAGTTTCTGTAAGGTCTTGCGAGTCCCAGGACACAAATATCTAAAGCAATTCCTGTTTCCCCACTATTCTGGAGAAAGTCAGGGCCTGGTGATGGATTCCAGGATTTGAAGGCGGGACTGGGGAAGCCCTCGCACTGGACCGAGCCGAGCAGGAGCACTGGCCGCAGTTCTGAAGACCAGATTCTCAAACAAGGAGGGTCCAGGAAACGTACAGCTGCTAGTGCAGGATGTGAGCAGAACCACCTTGAGTTTGCGATGATGAATAGCTGAGATCTCATGGGCTATCATCCTGCAGAACAAGAGAATAAAATATAGACTATGCCCACCTTCTGCCCCTCCCTCCCCCTTGTGGGTAGTGAGCTTAGGCTCTTATTTGGACGGCCCAAGATGGATTTCTAGGGAGTTCTGTGAAAAGCTCCTAAATTTGGAAACAAATTCATCAGCATGCATGCATTCTACAGGGTATGTATACTATGTAAGATATATATTCTTCTGAGGTTTTAAATAGATTTTCTTAAGGCCCGTGACACTAAAAGGTTAAAACCTATAGGCTATGGAATTGCTGTTTGAAGGAAGGTTGCCAAGTGGCCAAATGGTGATCATTTCTCTTCTACCTACTCCTTGTTGGACTTGCCTCCCAGATCCTTTAAAAATCCCTGGTTCCTTCCCGTGTCCCCGCAGGAGGCCCTCCCGATAGCACTGGACAGGTCTCTTCCTCCCTCTTCTGGTTTCTCAAGCATGATACACTTTCTCCCCTATTCGCTACCTAACTAGGAATAACGTCTTTGGTCTCAGGTTTAGTCCCCCAGTGGGAAAGATCTAGAGCCCCCCAAAGTGAGGAGGGAGAATATCTCACGCTAGGAAAACAGTCACAGATGCAATATTGTTAGTTAAGGGCGCACACTCGAGGTGAGACTATTTCACATGCTGGCTTCAGAAAGGCAGGGACTTAGAGGGTTATGGAGATAAAAGAATGCGTGCAAAAAAATCACCATGGTGGCCCTGGTGGGGTGGCTCAGTTGGTTGAGCACTGTCCCACGTACAAAGAGATCGCTGGTTCAATTCCCTGCCAGGGCACAAGCCTGGGTTGTGGGCTTGATCCCCAGTAGGGGGTGTGCAGGAGGCAGCCGATCAATGTTTCTCTCTCACATCGATGCTTCTCTGCCCCCACCTCTCAAATCAATAAAAACATAACCTCAGGTGAGGATTTTAAAAAAGTTACCACGGTGTTTGCTCCCCAGTAAGCACTGAATGTGAATTCGTATTATTAAACTGAAGCTCATTTTGCGAGACAGTTCATGCGTCAGCACCAGGCGCTTTGCCTACACACATCGTCACGTCTGATCCTCACGGGGACCTTTGAATGTAGAGATAATTTTTCTCATTTTTAGATACGGGAGACTGATGTTCTGTGAGGTTAGGTACCTTAGCCAAGGTCTCTAGTAAAGACTGAGCCAGCATTCAGAATCTTTTTTTGTTTCAAGCCCATGCCCTTCAAGTTGTATTTCTTCCTTTTTTTGTATGATCGGAGTCTCTGAGCCTCATTGTGCTCTTCTGTAAAATGGGAAAGTGACTGCCTCGTGGGACGGTGGGAAGATGGGAAGCTCCCGCCTGGGACACAGCGTCAATTGTAGCTGTTATGAATAACTTCCTCCCCAGGTTAGAGGCCTTCCCCCAGGCTTCATGCCTTCCCCACTGGAGGAAGCAGGCTGGAGGGGGGCAGCCCCCAGCTCAGGAAGGAGATAATTTTAGAAGAGAATCCCCTGGCAGAGGTCAGCACGGGGGAAGGGAACGGACTGAAATTCAACCTGATGCCCTATTTAAGGGTGGGGGTGGGAAGGGCATGGAACCGGGCTGACACAGGTGCTGCTCTATAATCGCATTTTTAAAAAAATCTTTAAAATTTTAATTTTAATATGTCTTTATTGATTTCAGAGAGGAAAGGAGAGGGAGAGAGATAGAAATATCAATGATGAGAGAGTCACTGATCGGCTGCCTCCTGCACACCCCCAACTGGAGATCGAGCCTGCAACCCAGCATGTGCCCTGACTGAGAATCAAACCGCCATCTCCTGGATCCTAGGTTGGTGCCCAACCGCTCAGCCATGCCCAGCTGGGCTGTAATCCCCCAATTTATCACACCCCCTAAAAGCCTTCCTATCCTGAAAATGGGTATGTTATTCCCGCTTCAACAGTACTGTCTCAACCTCCTAGACTTTGTATCCCTCCCTTGAGGATATCCCACTGTTCCTTACAGTACAGCCAACCAGCTCCAGTCCACTCCTCTCGCCTTTGCCCCCAGTGCTCTCCTCCAGCCAGGTCTCCCTCCGTCTGGTGATGTGCTTCAGCGTGACTTGGTCCCTCTCTGCTCTTCCTCCCCTACACCCAGCTTCCCCCCGTCCCCCAGCTGCTTCCCACCACGATGCTCCCCCAGAACTTCCCGTCTCTTGCTGAATCTTCATAGCCTGTGTGCCTGGCGCACTTGCCTGGCCAGGTCTGCCCTTCAGGTGCATCACACCCCAAGAACTCCCCAATTTACACACAGCCCACTGCCTAGATCCCACCCTGGCTGCCCTAGAATTCTCTTCGAACCTACACCCACTCTAGGAAACCTGAATCCAAACTGGACAGCGTGGGCTAAGGAAATCTCCACGCCTCACGGCCCTCCAGTTCCAGCCCAGTCTATTTCTCCAGCCTTCACCCCATACTTGCAATAACCCAGAAACAACTCTACTTACTAATGACTCTTCTGTCTCCTGACATGAGAAATCCAGTGCTGGCCGTATTTTGGGCAGCTGCCTGTAGTCATGACAACTAAGATGGGCTCATCTCAGGTGTGGACCTGTTCATATAAAAAAAGATCTGGCAGCAAAATAAGAAGGGGTATGCTGTGAGGTGGAGAGGGATGCTGTAAGGGGCTAAGAAAAATATGCGGGCATCACAGGATTATCCATAGGCACAGAGAAGTCAGTCACACATCAGTAATAAATACAAGCATTTATTTGGCACCTGATGGCGATACAACATCCTGGCAGTGGGCACTGGAAAGGTTTCATCACCCAAATATTCCAAACAATACTGACCCAGGGGCAGGGAGGACTTGGCCACAAGTCTCGGAACCACCTGGCTCACAGAACGAGCATTTATTGAGCACCTGATCTGTTCTATAGGCCGAGCTCTGTGCCAGGCTCCATGGGAGATGTGGAGGAAGTTGTCCCAATGAGACATCTTCAGGGGTTAATACCAGTGGATAAAACAAAACACATGAAAGAACACAGAGTACAAACACCAAACCGTGTATACTGTCAAAAAGTAAGATTCTAGCTAGGGTTGCTGCCTTCAACTTTTACTGAAGCCCTAACGTGTGCCAGGCACTGGGTACAAATTGGTCAACATAAAAGATTTTGCCCTCATGGAGCTTACAACCTCGCAGAGGAGACAGAAATGATCAAGGGAAGCAAGTTAATACATTACAAGTTGTGAAAAGCACAATGAAAGGATTAAACAGGACACAGTAATAAACACAGACCACTTAGAGAGAGAACGGCCTGAGAAACCTCCACAAGGAAGTGGGATTTAAGCTGAGACTTGAATAAACCACCGATCAGGAGGTGAAGAGTGGCGCTCAGACCCCGAGTGTCTGTGACGGTTCAGGACAGGAAAGAGCTCAGAACGTGTGAAACTGAGCAAGCCACTAGGGCTGTTGCTTAGAGAAAAAGCAGCACTTAATGGAATTTAAGGGGAAGGTGGAGCCCAGTAGGCCAAGGTAAGGAGTTTAGATTTTTTTAAAAAATATTTTTACTTATTTTTAGAGAGAAAGAGAAGGGGATAGAGAGAGAGAAGCATCAATGATGAGAGAGAAACATCGATGGGCTGCCTCCTGCACACCCCCTACTGGGGATCAAGCCTGCACCCTGGGCATGCGCCCTGATGGGGAACCGAACCACGACCTCTTGGTTCCTGAGCTGATGCTCAACCACTGAGCCACACTAGACAGGCAGGAGTATGGATTTTATTTGAGGTGTAATAAACCAAAGGGCTCCAAGAAGGGCAGCAACATGATCATATGTATATTTAAAAACCAAAAGCTGTCATATAGACATCAACTGGCGGGGACCAGAATGGAAGTCAAAGAGGCCTTCGAGAACAGGCAGGTTTCCTGTAAACACAGATAAAGACTGCTCCTGGGTAAACAACATATATAATCATATAGCAAAGGCCTCCCTGAAATAGACGGGGAAAGGGAACTAGGCCACATAAAATCAAAAGGGGATTTAACACTGAAACAGAAAGCAGGAACAGGTACTACATTACTTCCCTGAACAGCCAAATGATCCCACTAAGTAGTATGTCAGACAGATTTGGAGGCAGCAGTAACCAGGACGACATGAGGGAGGGGAGAAACAGGAAGCAGGGAGCTAACAACTAGGAAGCTCTATACAAAGGGACATTTCACAGGAAGAAAAGATAATGTGACAGGTTCCAGAGTATGAGTAAGCACCTCACCCTTACCCACCTCTGCTGACTGTGCCAGGCTCATTCCAGTGACAATCAGAGAAAATATCCTGGGAACCTCCCTGTGCAAAGATCAGCGAGTCCCAGATACAAGGCATCAGACCCCAGCCTCTGTGGGAAGCTTGGATTACTGCTGGGGAAGCTTGGATTACTGAGTCCAAGGAGCCAGAGGGGGCACTAAGACTGTCCTTCCAGGGATGGCCGTGACGCACTGAAGGGACACACAGGTCATTCCATGCACATAGCAGCAGAGCATGTCTCTAGTCCTGTGTGTCCTTCCACAGACACAGGAAAAATGCCTATATTAATGAGGACACCATCCAAACTCACTCGGGGACAAATGGGCTGGGATACGAAAGAGGAGATAATCTCTGAGACATCTTAACTGATGTAATAAATCAATGACCATAGTGCTACCTACAGAAGCTCGGGCAGGAAGTGAGCACACATGTCGAGGAGACCTGCATGCCTCTCCCCATGAAGACCACGTGCTCACATCACCATGTGCCAGGTTCCTCGGTGGCAGCCAAACGCTGCTGGCCCCCAGGGAAAGCCTCCCGCGGGAGGAGCCAGCCTGCGGTCCCGGCTTAGCAGTGAGGACAGATGGTAGGCTGGGAAGCCAGCCGGGGAACTCCCAGTCCCTGAGGGGAAGAGCCGAAACCGTGACCCTGCAAAGGCCCCGACGTGCTGCCTGTGGTCCTCAGCCCGCCGTGGTCCTGAGGCCGGCCTGGGCGTCACGTGGGAGGGAGTCCTGGGAACAGGTAGAGGTGGCGGCACAGGGTGCTGCAGTACTCAGACATCTCCTTGCAGCGGTGGAACTCTGTGCCCGGGGCGTAGCCTTCGCGCTCCTTGATAAGGCCGTTCACCTGGGGAGGCCAAAACCAAGGGTGCAAAGTCTAAGACTCTGGTGTTTTCGTAGGAAGGGTGGAGGCTGTGGCAACAAGGCAAGGGGGGGACAACACTGTGGAGCAAAAGGTCCACGGCCCCAGACTGGGCGACTTACCTTGACGAGCATGTCGGCCACGTGCATGTCACAAGCCCTCTCTGAGAAGACCTGAGCGAGGGCCTCGATGTACCAGGAGCCCCGCTTGGTGTTGCGCATGGCGGCCGTCCCTGCAATGAGGACAGCAGTCACCCCAGTGTGGTCACGGGATACCCTTGCACACAGACTGCTCGTCTACGGCACCTTGTTCCCGCCCCTGTGTGAGTCCTCCATGAAAAAGTGCGAGTCTCTAAGAGTGTCATCGTTGGGACTGTTCTGGAACTCACAGTACCTCTGAGGCAGGCATAGCCACATATCATGTCCGAGCGGGTGGGCAGTCGCATCTTCAGCAACTCCTGTCTCCCAGCATCACCGTCCTCGCACTCAGGGGCCCGGGCGTGGCCCTTCCCATCCTGCTGGTCGACCCCACGGTCTGTTTCGTCTGTAGGGAGGCACACAGAGTGAACAAGGACGTTATTTCCTCCCATCACTCTTCGGCCTGTCACAGGCAAGCCCAAGGTCCCTACCACCTTGACTGGGAAGAGCCATTTCCAGCTGTTGCCTCCAACCTAAGGCTGATGAATAAAAACACAAAACAGTCAGTCCCACTCCTCTCTGTGCCGCATCCATCCCTCAGGGGGTCGCCCAGCTCAGAGTCGGAGCTTTCTGCCCTGTGCCAGGCAGGGAGGGTGCTGAATCCCACACGCCTGGTAAATCATGAACCAAAGCCCGTCTATGTTCATGATTCACTTGCTCACTCAACAAAGTACTGGAAGGTCAAAGTACTGGAAGGTTTTTTTATTGTAACTAATAGAATATTGATATATTTAATATACTGCAAAAAGAAAAAACAAGTTAATAAACCAAAAATGTAATTACTACATGCATGCCACATAAAAGTCACAACCTGAAATCTACGTATCAATAAAAAGATTATAAAGCTAAGCATGACCAGCTGCTTCCAAGGCATTTTTAGTATTTTTAAATCACTTATTACTTGTTTATTAATTCCATAAGCCAAATTGTACCAGGCATCCAAGATTTAAGAGCAATGTAAAAGAGGGAAAACTTAAATCGACACTATATATTCAATAGTTTTAGCAGTAGTTTCTCAACCTGCCCTGGGCACGTGCCCAACCTCTTGATCAAGGCCTTACCTACTCCCAGACATAACATTATTTTGATGCTGTTTCATTTTGGGGGTGGGAGGAGGGGGGTGTTGATAGGAAAGAGAGACAGGGAAGACACACACCTCATCACACAAGATAAAAAGTATCTCTCACAACACTGCCTGCTCCATGCAACAGTCAAGGAAGCCTAGAAGGAAAGAGAAGCTTGAAGAACTGTGGGAAAACAGCCAAGATTCACCGATCCAATAGAAATTTATTGGGCAACTGCCGTGTGCCATGTACTGTTTTTTTCAGCCCTAGGGTATAGTGAAGAGAGTCTCTGCCCTCATAGAGCTGTCACCTCAGTTTAGGAGCCAGTCAACCGCAGAGGGGGTGGTACTTTGGACAGACATCGATTGTATCAACTAAATACAGCAGAAGACAGGTGAGCACAAGTTTTCAAAGGAACAGCTGACTGCTGGTCATCCCTGAAATATTTAATTTTAGAGAGAAGATTCAGATTTAGAGCGATGTCTCCCTATCCAGGTCTAGTAGTGCATGTGACTCTGAATATAGGAGGAAATGATCATGAATGTATTTATTCATTTTATTTTGCTGGTGACACCTCCTGAAGGAACTAGGCCAAGCTGATTATGTCCCTCAGGAGAAAGGAAACTCTCCTCTCTTGCCTTCATGTCTCAGATCTATTAATCAATAAATGTTACTGGTTCTTTCCAACACCCTCATCTCTGTTTTCTGTAACAGTGCTAGAATCTCCATCCATTCTTTCACTATTTAGTAAGTGCTACCATGTATCTATCGGGCAGTGCTCTGGACCTAGAATACAACAGGTGAATAAAAAAGTTAAGTTCCTGCCCTGGCTGGTTTGGCTCAGTGGTTAAAGCATCGGCCCGTGGACTGAAGGGTCCCAGGTTCAATTCCAGCCAAGGGCATGTACTTCGGTTGGAGGCTTGATTCCCAGCCCCAGTCGGGGCATGTGCAGGAGGCAACCAATTGATGTGTCTCTCTCACATTGGTGTTTCTCTCCCCCCGCCCCTCTCTGAAAAGCAATAGAAAAAATATCCTGGGGTGAGGATTTGAAAAAAAAAAGTTTACGTTCCAGCCCTCACATACTCTTTCCTTATTGCAGCTTCCTGCCAGTGATCGTCCTGGAAAAGAAATCACAAAATTTCTTTCTTAAGCTCCTCAAAGCTCTGTACTATTCTCTGCTGAAGCCCCAAATCTCAGCCATGACCAAAAGTTTATAACCAGCTGGCTCTACCTCACGTGGCCAGCCACTTCCCAATATATACTCGCAGACGCTCGGTTTTTAAATGAGGTCCGGGCACACTTCTGACTCAGTGCACCACTTTTTTGGGGAAGGAGCAGGGTCCTTTTAATCTTGCTGTGCTTGTCACATATATTCCCCCTTTTCCCCTGAAAGGCTCTACCTGCTACTCCACACCTCTGTAAATCTTATCATTCTAGGTCAAAATGAAGCCTCACCCTACCCGCAAAACCTCTACAAGCGAAGCTGACCTAGAACAAGCGGTCCTTACAGCCTGTGTCTCCACATGTGCGCATCTCACTACTTCCACCCTGGCTTACTCGAGGCCTCTGAACTGTTCAAACAACTTTCTGTACGTTTGCTGTGTTGTCCTGGTAATTAGCAGGTGCTCTGGAGACACCACATTTTCTCTTGCTTTTGTGATAACACCTAGCGTAGTCCTAGTCATGTTGTAGGGCCTTAATAAATTATATTCTTTGGTGCTATTAGGGGAATAAAAACAGTATTAATCATTTACATGTGTTGAACACACAACAGATAAAAATTATTTGAATATTTGGACAAAGTCGCCTTTAAACCAACCTGAAAGCCCCTTGAAGGCACTGGTCAGGTTACAGCAGGCACGGCTGGCATTTTTGGTGGATTTACTAGGAGCCAGGCACTGGGCTAAGCAGGCCCTTCATATATATTATTTCACTTAATCATCGCAACAACCCTATGGAATAGGCCTGATGATTATCTGCATTTTATATCAAGGAAATGAAGATGGAGGGTCACCAAGGAACGTCTCTAACTTGACCTAACCAGTCAGTGGTAGAGGCGGATGTGACCGCAGTTAGTTTTTGTTATTTCTGGCTCTTCCTGGTGGAGCCCAGTCCCGGAGTCCTGGGATGGGACAGCTGCATGCGAGAGAGAGGAGGGAGGGAAGCAGCTCCGGAACGGGCAGCGCCAGGGCTGACCTGGCACCTGCGGTCCTGCGTGGCACAGGATGACGAAGAGAAGGAGGGGGCAAGGATGGCAGGGAAGGCGGAGAGATGGAGGGAGGAAAAGAGGAAGGGATAAAGCTCAAGGGACAGGAAGAAGAGACAGAAATCCCTTAACTGGAAGGAGTAACAAAAAAGCACATCAGCGTTTCTGATAAGCACAGGAAAAAGCCCAGAGTCCTCGTAAAAGAAGGCAAAGACACCAATAAAGAGTCCTGAGAAGGGCACGGCGGTGCAGAGCGCTGGCGGCCCCGGGAGCCACGGGCTGCGCAGGTCCCAGCACACCCATGCATCGGGGACACTTACAGAGCAAGAGAGGCGGTGGCAGCAGTGAACAGAAGGAGGTGCCCAAGGGATCCGATAGCACCTGAGAGGAGCAAATAGGAAAGTGAGAGCCAGGGGGAGGCTGCCCAGGAGCCACCACCCAGTGCTGTCTTCTGGGCACTCACCCCCACGGCAGGCCTGGATGAAGAACATCTTTGGCTTGTTCTGCAGGCTCGGGCAGTTGGCATTGTCAAAGAGCCGGAACACCTCCTGGAGCTGCCAGGGAGAAGCAAGGGAGAAGGGGGAGGTAAGTGGCCAGTAGGACCTCCTGAGTCTCATACACACAGCAGTAGCCAGCGCTGAACAGACGGCAGGCTGAGGGTGACAGACACGACCTGGTCTCAAGAGCATCATCTGCAGACAGCACCCACCTGAAGCACCTTGCCATCCACACCATAGACACCACCCTCCACGCCGTGGGAGAGGAGGGCCACGATGCAGGAGTCAGTGACGCGGTGAGCGGGCAACTGGGCAAAATTCTGGAGTTTCTCTTGCATTTCCTAGAAGAAACACACCTTTTAGTGCTGTTCACTGTAGTCAGCACCAGTAGAAGCTTTTCTGTGGTGTCTGAAACCTTAAGTCACCAGAAGATAAAATGTTTTCTGCGGTTAATGATAAGTGAGGTCAGAGACCCTTTGAGAGGCTAGAAAAGGCATGGGCTCACCAGAAAATGCCCAACTTCAGACACAGAATTCTGAATATAATTGCACAAAATTCACAGACTGAGATATGCTAAGAACTCCTGGATTAAAGAAAGTAGCTAATGAAGCTAATCAAGAGCTAGTTAACTTTATCCACCTCCTATCACCAACCAGATCTTTCTTTAGAGCAAATGGCCTTGTACATAAATGGCACAGGGGGACCACCTGCTGAGCTGTGAATGAGTATCACCTATGGGGCCACAAGAAAATAAACTGCTCCATGACAAAGGGCTAACAGGACCATGATGCCAGAGAACAGCAGCCCTTCTATGCTGTTTTCTGTCTGGGATCTGAAATGCCCAGAGACGGTGATAATGTCTGTATAAAATGACTGTTCAGGGAGGAGCACACTGTCTGGAAGATTCTGTCTGGGCCACGACTACATGCATAGGCCACGGGATCAGACAGACCAAGTTTGACCCCTGGATTCAAAACTGGTACAGGCTATTAAGCCCCTCAAGGTTCTAATTCCCATTCTGAGAAAATAAAGGACTTATAGCTGTGTCTGGCACATCCTGCAAAGCCCTGCTATGATTATTCTGTGTGTGTCTAATGAAGGGTAACAATATTATCATTTTTTTACTTTTTAAAATGTTTTTATTAATTTTAGAGAGAGGACAGGAGAGGGAGAGAGAGGAAGATTGATGAGAGAGAAACATCAATTGGCTGCCTCCTGCACGCCCCCTACTGGGGATCCAGCCCACAACTCAGGCATATGCCCTGATCAGGAATTGAACTGATGACCTCTAGGTGCATGGGACGACCCTCAACCAACTAAGCCACATTGGATAGGCAATACTTTTTTTTTGTTTTTTTAAAAAAACAACCTATTACTGGTCAACCTTGTAGTCCAACTTAAGAATCTTGCTTACCTAGCACCGAGTTGCCATACATGAGTACCTCTCTACCTTAGGCACCGGGCCCATCAATGGAAAGTTACACTATACTATAATAATCTGATACTGGCTGTTAAACCTACACCTCCCTCTACAACTCAAGATGCTTGAGCCATCTCTCCTATCAGAAATGAGCAGAGAGATGTTACTTTATAATGAATCCGAATAAACTGTTATCCAGGCAGAATAGTCGCCATATACAGCCCCCTACAAAGAGCAGGCACTTGTGTAATATGTTGCTGTGGTTCTCAAAGTGTAGTTCCCTAAAACAACAACATCAGCATTGCCTGGGAACTTGTGACAAATGCAAAGTCTTGGACCCTAGCAATTGTTTTAACAAGCCCTTGGGGGATTCTGATATGTGTAGTTTGAGAACTACCAATCTATTTGTTTGCAATATAGTTGACCCTTGAACAATGCGAGGTTAGGGACGCTGACACCCCCCCAGTCAAAAATCCATGTGTACTTTTGACTCCCCCAAAAGTTAACCAGTCATCCTTCGGTATCTGTGTGGGATTGGTTCCACAAGCCCCCAAAGATAACATAATCCACAGATGCTCAAGTCCCTTATAACATGGTAGAGACATGGCATATAGCTGGCACATGCATCTTTGGATTCCCAATAGGGGATCGAAAATACTGTTTTTGATCTGAGGTTGGATGAATCCGGGATGCAAAACCTGGTGATTTGAAGGGCCTACTATATAAAAATCTGCATTTCACCCAGCTGGGCGTGGCTCAGTGGTTGAGTGTCAACCTAGGATCCAGGTGACTGGGGTTCGATTTCCGGTCAGGGCACATGCCCAGGGTCGAGGGCTTGATCCCTAGTCGGGGGCGTGCAGGAGGCGGCCGATCAGCAACTCTCATCATTGATGTTTCTCTCTCTCTCTTCCTCTCCTTTCCTCTCTCTGGAATCAATAAAGATATATTTAAAAAAACAGAAATAAAATAAAATAAAAATCTGCATGTAAGTGGCCCTGCGCAGTTTAAACCCGTGTTGCTCAAGGGTCAACAGTACTTCTGTCTGCACATAATTGAGACTTCACTATATAAGACTTGAAGATCTGCAATGTAACTGGAGTAATTGGCTCTGTTGCAAAAGTATGTATATTTACTGGGCAAGCAGAAGCCAACCAGAATATTGGAAATCTTAAGGTAATAAAAGATATCCAAAATTAATTTGTTTCAAGACTATATAATCTCAAGAGATGATCGTACAGAATTTAACAAGTAGTAGCTGAAGTTAAGTTTGCTCATGGAAGGGAATAAAAATGTATGCGTGGTACCCACTCACGAACATTTTGAACTTCAGTGATACTATTAGGTCAGTAAACAGAGGATGGAGAAAGCCCAAAGTAACAATACACAATTTGTAACTGAACTGATACGACTAAGCCATTTGATAAATCGGGGTTAGTCATTTGGCGGAATTTTCCAAAAAGTAGCAAGCTTAAAAGTAGGATCTGCAGCTTTATTTCTGATAAAATTACAGTACTTCTCTAAAGAGCAGTCTTACCTTGCCTATGTTTTTGGCTGGGGGGTGGGGGATACAGGAGCAGAGATAACCTGCAAACCCTCTGAAATTATATGCAAAATTCTGTGGGGAGCTTCATGTTCCTGGAATGACCCGCAGCTGTCCCTATATTCTCACAGCATTCTGCAACCTGACTGCAAGTTAGAAACCAATACCACACATCAAAAGAAAACCTGCCACTTCAAAAGTTTGTCATTTCCTCATATATGATGAGCTGTAATTCTAGAACTAGCAGCCTCATGAGGGAGACACAATGAGAACAGACTTTCATGACAAAGAAAAAAACACGAGCAGTGAGAAGACCAGCAAGCACTCCAGTAGTGTCAAGGAAGGAGGATTCTTTAAGACTATATACTACTTCCAATTTTTAAATGGAAGTATCTCTAAAGTCAAAAAGGTATAATAGAAGGAAAAATGAGAAGATCTTAATTTTGGGGGTTCTGTTTCTTTGCTCACCAAATAATTATATAGTAAGAGTTGCGTTTCTTGAGAAGTCCACATTTTAAAATCTCTGGTACCTAACACTGTGCCCCATTCTAAGGTACTCAAAATTTGATGCTATTGCCATTGCAGTTGCAGAAGAAGGTAACCAGAGAATGAGAATCTGGCAGGTCCTTGAGTCTGCACCAGGTTGAACACAAACAGGAATGGTGTTTGTGAAGCGGGCCCATGGGTCCCCACCCATTCTGGTTGTCTCTGAAAGTAACAGTATACAGCTGACTCGGTGACTCAGGGCTGCATCTTTCACGATGCATGGAAGATCCCCACCGACTATACGTGATCTGGAAACCCAGGACATCATAAATTCCTAGGAAAAGGAACAACCAGAGCAAAACCTATACAGAAGCCTGGAAAGCATTCGTTTTGCAAAGTGACTTTCTAACAGCATTCCCCCTGTAGGTATCACGGCTCATGTCCCAGCCTTGCTCCCTTCCTGCCTGGCAGACCTCTCAGGAAAGTGGGTAACCTACTTGAACACTTGATGACTGAAGCAGCTGCTCAGCCACGGCTTGGAGCAAGGGTGGCTTCACTTCTCTGCATGGGCTCTTACGGGAAAGCTGGCAAGAATAACTGCAAAGGACACCTGACTACCTGCTGATGACACTGGCCTTACCAAGTACAGCAGATACATCCCCTTTCTCCCAGAAGCCGAGAAACAGAAACGGAGACCGCAGACAACGCTGAAGACAAAACGAAGGGCCCCACCTCAGCAGACCAGAGTGATCTTCCAGAAACTTTAATCTCACCACCGCCCTTTCCAGAGGCAAGTTTAGGAAAGTGCTACTATTCTGGAATCAAAATGAAGAATTAGTATTAATTCACCAATAGACTATTAATCAATTTCAGAACAGAAATAGCCAAAGGTGACAAACTTGGAAGTGCAGCTGGTAACTGAGGTTAACGAGGAATAACCCATAATGAAAATGCTCGTGATCTGCAGGAACCTGGTCGAGAACTCATCTACCCTAAGGTCTGCCTTGTGGCCACACAACTGATAAAAACAAGGAATCTTTCCATGTTAATTCATTAAACTGCCACAAAATGGTATTTACAAGGGCAATTCCAGCAAACTTTCCTTTGTAAGAATTTTATCTGCCAAAGTAATCTTTGCAACAATAACTAGACTCCTGTCACAATTCACCAAGAAGTAAACGTCCTATGTAGCCCTTGGCTTAGAAGTATCTTCCTGAGCTGGTTGGGTGCATCTCAGTGTCTCATCACTTCCCAAGTGACTGGGAATTAATTTGTTGAGCGTGAAAAAATGAGAACCCAACTGTGGACTTTTATTACTCAGCAGGGGGAGCACAGCCACCCAGAGAAGTCAACATTGACGCAGCTGGCTGACCTTCATTCTTTTTCTTTTACTAAACTGCAAGGTGAGAGGCAGAACAGAGCGAGCAAATAGGTGCGGAGTAAAGTAACTAGTAAGACACAGCCAGCAGGCAGGGGAGCAGCAGCGGTTTCTGGCCCCAGATGCTGCATCGGGTACCTGTGCAGTCTGGTCCAGTAGAACATGGACTTTGTAGCCCAAGAGCTTGAAGAGGGTGACTAGGCTGCTGTGGTCCACATCCCCTCCGGAGCGGAAGTCCAGGTCCTTCTCTCCGGTGAAGTACACGTTGCTCAGGACCAGGGCCAGGCCACGAGGCCGAGACTGCAACCTATAGGCCTGGGGAGGGGGTGCCAGTTAGACCTCGAGCTTCTTGAGGACAGAAACTATACAACCCCCCACCCCCCCGGTGAGACGTTTCCAGAAAACAAAGGCATCATACTCTTGAACCTACCAGGTCAAGACAGCAACGTGCCCACAAAAGACATCCCATCAGCAAAGACTTTCTGACTGATAAGCAGGGAGAGTGTGCATGCAAACTAAGTTCACATGCCCAGGAAGGGGTCTCACTGCCCAACTCCCCCCTCATGCCATTTTGCCAGACTCACCAGCTGGTAGTGGGCTTGATAGAACTCAGGAGTGCAAGGCTTCACCTGAAGGCACGGTGGGCCATCTCTATTGTCCAGGGAGTGCTCCACAGTATCTGTGGCACAGAAAGTCACAAAAGCTAGCACATGGTCTATGCATTAATCCTAGCACTTGTAACTCCAGGCACCCTTTGAACTGGGCTTTTAATAATTACTGGTCTTGTTTACTCCATTACTGTAAGATCCATGAGTGCAGAGACCTGTTTACTTAGCCTGCACATAGCAGGTGCTCAATTCACTGAATAATGGAATGTTCTAATCACAAAGCAACTCAATCAGCAGGCTAGTGGCCCACAACCTCATTCTACAATAACTTGGCTTCATAGAGGAGACAGGTCAATCATATACAGGAATTTCCTACCTACACAAGTTGCTCCAAAGGCCAATTACCATAAAATACCATCTGTGATGGAAGGGAAATAGGCCTAACCAATACCCCATCTAAACTGCCCTGCTAGTCCAAAACAAATGCAGCAAGGAAACTATTCCCAATATGAGTGAAAACAGGCAAAGTCAGATACCAGTTAAGAAAAGGGAAGCCGATCTGTGGGGCCTGATTTATCCCATCAATTCTCACCTGTAGACAGGCGGAGCTTCTTGTGAGGGGGGCAGGACTCACACACCGGGAAAGACAGACTCAAGTCGTAGTCACGGCTCAACTGTAAGACATCAGGAGCCCCAGTGCCAGGTCTTAGGGGGATGGTTCAGTCCCAATAAAACAAAGATCTAGTTTCCCCACCCGTCTCAAAAACTCCTTTCCCACCAACTAAGCCTTTCAACACACCACGTGTCTAGGGCTCCATACCGGTGGGAGGACATGCTGAAGACCAGAGAGGGTTGAGAGCAGCAGATCCTCCAGATGACACTGCTTGGTCTCCCTCAGGGCCATACAGAAGGCATCAAAAGCCTGGGGACCCCTCTTGGGCAGCAAGTTGAGGAGTTCCACATTCTGGCTGAAACTGCCCACTTTGGCCTATGATACAAGAATAAAACACGGAATTGTACATACTTATCTAGCTACAATTCTATTTCTCCAGATGATCTTCCTAAAAATGTCATCGTCCACCTCAACAATTCATTTCACAGGAAAAACAACATGGGTGAAGCCCTTCCCATTATTCCTGAATGATATACCTTTGCTGTCCAATGCTCTAGGGCAGGGGGGCATTTTCAATTCCTTGGTAGGGAACTGCATCCTTTCCCACTTTATCCAGCTCTGTTCCTACTTCTACAACCAATTTACTGGGCTTCTGTCTTGCGCCTCCAGATACCTGAATGTGCTCCCTCATTTCCAAGGTGATGATGTCTTGCTCCAGGAGATGTTCTAACAGTTCACTCAGCAGCAGCTGCTTGGCTAGCACCACTCGGTTCTTTTTCAGAGCTTCCTGGTGGTCAGGATGCATGCCGCACACTCTCAATACCCTACGGATGAATGGCAGAGAGGGGGGCTGTTAGCACAGAAGATGTGGCCCAGAAGAGTGGAGTGGAAGAGGTGTGGGTAGAAAGAACAAAAAGAACTGGACATACAATTACCAAGATGAGGCCTATTTTATCGAATCTCCTTAAAACCAAAGAAGTAGTAAGCAGTAACACAATGATCATAAGGACATGATGTATATAATTCTTTACCAACTATGTTCAACTGAGAGCATCTTCTGAGACAAATGGTCTAGGAGAGGGAAATGGCTACCTTAACAAAAATACACACAAGCACACATGCATTCATGAAAAGGAATATTCCTCTGACAGACCAACTGCGGTTAAGAGATTATTCCAGAAAACTCTTGGCACTATTTATCTGGACTGCGGAAAATGATGTAAGTTTTAAATGATCCTGGGTGAGGAATAAAATAATTTGATACAATGGCAAAAACTCAAACCAATGGCTAGCTCTAATGGAAAATAAATGAGATAGATACAGACACAAACACATTCTCTTTAGTCTTATATCAATTATAACTATGGCTTTTCAAACCTTAAGTTCCTGTGGAAAAATGGCACTAAAAATGATCAGAATCCTCTAAGAACTGCATGAGGAGAAAGTATGACAGGAAGTCACAGTAGATAAATACCAGTGATGGATACAATCACCATAACCTGAAATCGCTTAAAGAGTTAAAAGCACATAAAGGCTGAATTATTTTGGTAATTTAGTTTACTAGGGATGTCTCTATTTCAAGGTTTCCTTAGTTTTGCTATTGGTTTGGAAAGAGACCATTTTCTGTTTATGAACTAAAAGAATCCCAATTCAGTGTATATCATCTATGTGCCTAGTTTATATAAATCTAGAGCTCACTAGCCTGCTTAGTCAGTTTCCAAATATATGACAACACTAAGAGCCTGATGGCAGTGAGAAATATGGTAATAGCTTCAGTTTATAACTTAAAATCCTATTTAAAGATCTATCCTGATTTCAAAGATGCTACGATGTACATCTTAGAATCAGTGAAATACCATGCATTTACAGGATGTACCTGGCTTACCTCTCAGGTAAAGATTTATAATTACAGGAGAGAAAAGCGTGGTGTTGGAAGAGCTGAGAGAGACCCAAGAACATAAACACACCCTCTTTAGTCTTATATCAATTATAACTATGGCTTTTCAAACTCTGGCATGTGGGATCCCAAGGCAGAGGAAGTGGTCAAGGAAAACATCCCCAGGGTTGGAAGCAGCCAACTTAGTTAAAATTTAGATTTGGAACAGTGGTGATGTTTTAAATTCCATTTTAACTTCCTGTTTCTAGAAATACTCCTGTTACCCCAAACTTTCAGTAAAAACCTGCTACGATAACACAATCTAGAAAAATCAAAAACTCCAATTAAGAAGCACCTTAGGCCCTAGCCAGTTCGGCTCAGGGCTTAGAGCATCGGCCTGTGGACTGAAGGGTCCCAGTTTTAATTCTGGCCAAGGGCACATACCTCAGTTGCAGGCTCAGTCCTTGGCTCTGGTAGGGCACGTGCAGGAGGCAACCAATCACTGTGTCTCTCTCACATCGATGTTTCTTTCTCTCTCTCCCTCTCCCTGCCACTTTCTCTGAAAAGCACTGTAAGAAATATCCTTGAGGAAAGATAAAAAAAAATAAAAATCACCCCAGAACACACCAAAGCAGTAACAATGATAACCTATATAAGCTCTGGTAAAAATAAGTGTAATCAGGCCAACCACAAGATAACATCACACGGCGCAGCTGGATGCTATTTCCTTAGGACACACACCAATGGCAGAGCAGGTTTACCCAGGTTCCTTCCCTTAGTTTACCAGTAGCATTTTCTCCTTAAAACTTTCTCCTCCCTGTAGGTAGGCTGAAACAGACTGCACCAGTTGCTGTAAACTATTCACAAAGCTAAGTGACCAAACTTGTTTTGATTTGAAAAAAGTGCAGTTTTCTCATCCCTCCCCTTGATGAAAGGTGACTCTTTGAAGGCCCTTGGACCTGAACAGATGTTTTCTAGGATGAAACGTGAAGACTAATTTTATTTTTTTTTAATTTTAATTTTCTTTTAAAAATATATCTTTATTGATTTCAGAGAGAGGAAGGGAGAGGGTGAGTTATAGAAACATCAATGATGAGAGAGTCATTGATTGGCTGCCCCCTGCACACCCCCTACTGGGGATCCAGGCATGTGCCCTGACCAGGAATGGAACCGTGATCTCTTGTATAGCAGGTTGATACTCAACTGCTAAGCCACCCGGGCAGGGGGGAAGGGCTAATTTTAAAAAAAACCACTCGGCTTTCGTAATCTGTTTTAAATTTATGTATAGTAAGCACAACTGTAATCTAGTTTTAAGAGAAACCAGTGCTTTTAGTTCAATTGTATGTCCCTTCTTACTGTAAAAGATGGCTTGTTCAGTTTGCAGCAACAGCCATTTTCTTGGGAGAAAGTCTGAGTGTAAAGCCATTGGTAAAAGGCTTTGCCATACTCACTTTAACATGTGCCTGTTGCTGTTAACTTTTGATGAACGAAAAACTAAAACAAACAAAACATTTTCCCCCTCCCTTGAGTCCCAGGACACCATTCTCTCCAGGTCTTCCCTCTGCCCGCTATGTTCCTGGTTCCTCCAAATAGGACCTTTTTGGGCCTGCCCTTAAATGCTGATAGCTCTTAAGGACCCCTACGAAAGAACCCCCTCCCTCGTCTGTCTCATCCGTACTCACAATTCTCCAACTGACTCTTGGTTCTTAACACTTTCAAGGTCCAGACTTGAATTTTCAATCAGAAACTCCTTGGGTTTAATCTGAAGCATCGCCTGCTCCCCCACACACCTGCTCCTTTCTGCATTCGATATTACCCCCAGAATCTCGAAGGTGGGCTTTCCAAAAGTAACCCCCAGCACCTAGAACTTTAGGACACGTCAGGAAGGGGAGGAAGGAGAAAAGTGCACAAAGGGAGTCCTGCCGTCTGGACTCTGTGTCCTGCAGGTTTCAGATCTGCAGTCTTAAGTGCATCTTCTGGGTCTGGACCGGGAGGCCTCTAAATGTTACCCCAGGTGACGCCTGCAGTCAGATGCTACAACGGGGGCAGAGGAGGGGACGCACTGGGAGCCCTGTCCTTGCGAAGGCCTCACCCCCCAAGGCCCGTGCTGACCGCTCTGAAACCCTGCCCGTTACACCCAAAGCAATGCGGGTCAGGATGTAGTCGATGCAAACCAAGCGCACGTTTAGTTGAGGCTGGGTCGCAGGGTTCTGCGGGTCTCAAGGGTTAAGGGGACCGGGTACAGTTCCTCCGAAGGGGGGGGAGAAGGAGTCTCCGGAAGATTTAAAGATGGAGAATCTTGACGAGGAGCCGAGATATGGCAGGGATGGAAGAAGCTCCCCTGGTTCAAAGCCTCCCTGGGCTGGGCGAATCGAGGCTGGGCAGGGAGGGCCGAGGTCGAGCAGAGGCCCGCAGGTCTCCCACTTTTGTCTGGAAGCGGGGACCAGGCTGCTTCCAGGGGGTCCAAGGCGGGGGGGGGCGGCGCCAGGGGCCTGCGATCCCCTCCCTGCGCCCTACGAAGGACCCCTGGGACCTTCCCGCACTCACCGGCGTCCCCTGTCAGAGGTCATTAGCTCCTTCAGGGGGAGGGCGGGCCGGCGGCCCGCGGTCGGCGTCGCCATTTCTCGCTTTTCCCGGGCTGAGCGCGCACCGCCCACAACCCAAACAAACCAAAGGCCTCGGCGGCCCCGGGTCCCGCCCCCGCCTGGCGGCGCCCA